TTTTTATATCCATCTGTCTTATACATTTTCATTATTCTCTTCCAATACAAAAACAAACAAGACATAAAACATAAAAACATGAAACATCTTTTCTGAAAGTTGCTTGGTCCTGGGTTAATAGGATCACATGTTCATCAAAAATAGTTTCTTCTTTGTCCCAATTATCCTGCTGCGCAATCAATTCTCCATAGGAATGCACCGCCATTTCTAGAGATTGAAAAAGAATGTCCAAAGTATCTTTCCAGTCTTGTTCTTCCTTTTTATATTTTAGATATTCAGTTTTAGATTCATCCAAGGGTGATGCCATTATATATATATATGGGAAAACTTTTTCCCATAACAACCACCTGAGTGTTTTTAAACAAAGAAAAAAAATTTCCCAAAAGATGCAAAGTCACCAAACAATCCAGATAGACTATTTCTTTTAGCACTTTTTCCCTTCTTCCATTTCTTTTTCGGGGGTTGCTATTAAATCACAAAATTCCAATTAAAATATATCTTTTTGAAGTCTTATTAATGTTCAAATGGCTCTTTAAAATTCTAGGCAGTCTGCTCCTTATTTTCAACTTCTACTTCAATTTTTTTCCTCTCCCTTCCCACTCACAGCAAAAGAAAAAATTTTCTTTAAATATTTAGAAATCCATATTCCTTTGGCATTAGCATAGTATTTAGCATTTAGCATACCTTCAATGCGGGTTTTCCGATTTCTCTCAAAGCTGTTCTGTTTGGAAGGAGAGTGAAAAGAAAAAAAGTTTTCCCTTTAATATACTTTTGCTGCTTACTCAGTCTGGGAACAATGTGTCTTTAGTAGGTGTTAAATACCAGGATACTTTCACTGTTCCTTTGTCCCGGTCAGCAAAATCACTTTCACTTCTTCACAAGCTCCTCCAGCACTTTCTTTTTTCCGACTGAGCTCTTCTATGTGGCAGCCATTACAGATCGCTGCTCAGCTGCCATCGGAGAGGGAGATTTAGCCAGCTAGGGAAGAGAGATGCGATGTCTCTCGTCCCTGCCAGAACCCCCCAGTCTTCACCACCTTCTACAAAGGTGGCTTAGCCCCGAAGCCAAATGGCTCGGGGCACTCAGGCAGTGAACACAGGCAGAGACCGCGCACAGTCACGGATTCCTGCCTGCACTGAAGCACCACAAGCCGGAAGTGTCAATCCCTTGCTGGCATTCTTGACTATCTTAAGAATATGCTTCTTATTAAACTTATCATGGTATATTTGATATCACATACTCCTACACTGTATATTTTAATTATTTCAATGCTATTTTAATTTTGGCCATCTTTAAAACAATTTGGTAATTTCTGTGTAATGAGATTAAATAATGGAGTTAGAAGTTGCTTTTTTTTAATGCCAACATTTCTTCTGTTGATACATTAAAAATGATGACTGTAATATTTGTTTGCAGTTTAGTTCCAGTTAATTAGACTTTGTGCCTCTTATTATTATTTGTTATATTATGTAATCAATCCAATGTACAAAAAGCCTGAGATTTGCTGTACATGAAGGATTACTTATTTCATTTATTCATCCATCAATCCATAAATGAATGGATGACTAAAATTCAGACAAGATTGTTATCTCCTGGATCTAGATTCCAGAACATAAATTCCCTGCTTTTCCAGCCAGTAGCATGAAAGTGAACATATTTTTAATCCAGACATCTATCAAAGCATAAACTCAGTACTGACCCTAGAAGCTATTGCCAGAAAAGAAACTGTCTCTGAGAGCGTGTAAACAACACAAGACTGCACAGCTTGGTATATAAAGTAAAAGATCATGGCTTTCTCATTCTGACTACTAATGGGAAAAATACATGATGCTGTGTGATTTGCACTTCAATAGTTAAGACAGTTCTGTAGTTCCACGAAAATTATATATCAGTTTGTTTACTCAGTGTACCAAATCCTTAGTAATCTGAATTACAAACTGAAGCCAAAATATGGGAGTTTCTTGCACCATCTTGTCCCAATTGTTTTATTTAAGTGAACTGTTTTCTTTATTTTCCATAGTTGTCTATGATGCTGAATGCACATTTCCAAAGACAGGTGTTTCAAAAACCCACCTGCTGTGATTTCTATTATGAAAGATCTCTAAGGTAGAAGGCTGGGGACAAAAAGTTTTTGTGATTAAAAATGTTCAGGCATATTCTGTTTATTTTGTTATTTGTTTATTTGAACAATCTCAAAATCTTATTTCTGTAGAAACCTATCTTCCTTCTGGAAGAAATTGTTGAAGAATGTGGAGTAATCAATGATGGCTCATTCATTTCATTTTAAGTCCATTTTTATGGCTAAATTTTAGTACCCCTTGCTAGAAGTGTGCAAAGTGGAGAAAAGGCTCAATACTCAAAATAATAGATTTTCCTTCTGTCTAGATTCAGAAATTTCGAAAGATATCGACAAGCAGAACAGAAAATTATCATTATTATGTAATCGTAAGTCCTTCTCTTATACCTCTTGAACAAATTGTTTGACCCAATTCCCTTTCCCCTTTTTATTGTGAAGAACCCTGTAGTATGAGAAGCTGTATTACATTTCAAAAATACTAAAGTTAACAGCATGGATCTTGAAAACCCCCCACCAAAAACAGCAATCGGGATCATTGAAAGGTTTACAAGATGGAGACCTTTTATCTGCAGGGATTAGTGGTCCACAATTATATGGTGCCCCCCTTTTATTGATCCCATATAATTTGGAATTCATAAAGTTAGGAGTGGATACTCCATGTATAAACTCATCCAAGGGAACAAGTCCTTTTCTGAATCATAATCTGGGTTGAACAGCATTTCTACCATGCTCTAATTCTGTGAATCCAGTGTGCAGTTACGTGAAAATAAAGGAGAACTGGACAAAAAAAAAACCCCAAGTACTTGTGTACTGGAGTGACCCCAGGCCATTTCCCCACTTATGACCTGTAGCATTTTCTAGAGCCACCCAGACATTGTGTCGTTAATATTACAGTAACAAATCAGATTCCCTACTGCTGCAGTGTCAGTGAATAACTCCATATGCACCAGTGAAGATCTGGTTTAATACTGAACTACTATTACTATTTTAGGATAATAGGGGACAATTTGAAAAGAGAGAATGTCTTCAAATGTGTTTGTACAGTACTGCTATCTTCATAACAATCTGTATTGAGATTAATCAGAAATGATGGATCAGAATATTCCAGTAAATGAGGACAGTCAAGGGCCTCAGATGTTTTGGAGAACAAATCTTAAAATTCTGAGGCATTATGACTGAGAACGCAGGAATTATAATCTCAATGTATCTAACAGATATCTCTTTGGGAATTGCTGCTGATCTTTAAAATGGTCAAGCATTATTTTTTTTTGCACTACAAGCTTGATGTTGGATACTTCTGTCTTTTCTGAATCCAGATATATACCTAGTCATTCACATTCCATCTATTGTTGAAGTATGGATAGGAAACATTTAACCATTATCTTCCTAGCAGGTGAAAAAATAAATAATCACTAGATGTTGTGAACAATCTTTCATATTACAGTTTTTTGATTCTGGAATAAAAACCAGTCTTTTCCACTCACTTGGCCATTGCTGCATTTTTCATACTTGCTTTCAAACTGCAAGTTATGCATTAAGATTGTAATATTTTAAATAGGGCTTCTAGTATTTCATCGGCTTCCTGCTGCTTTGTTTTAGCAGTATTTTCTAAATCCCATTTGATCTTATTTCCCAGAATATTTGGTTTTAGTTTTTTTTTAAATGTATTTTACAAAATAATTCAGGACATGAAATTTTGTACTAAAATGTACAAGCAACCCTTGAAGAATGGCAGGCTTAGCTATTTGAAAGGATGTTCTGAACTGCTATAATGAAATTCATTGTTGATTAGAGTGGCATCTTCTACTTCTTACTTGTTATAACGACAAAACTGAATTTCAGATTCTGGAAAATTGGATGAATTCAAAACAGAAACTGCTAATGATATCAAACAAGTGCATGGAGAAGTAAGCACTTTCAAAGGTAAGGGATTGAGGTGAATTTCTTAGTTACACTCTCAAATTTTGCATTGTATTTGTCTTTGATTCTTGAGCATCTACTTAAGGGGATTTGCATGCTGACATCTCTGCCAGATGTATGCTGACTTTTAATCAAAACCAGGGACCTCCTAAGAAATCTGTAAGATTGTCCTTGGACATTAATATGTTATTACTCTATTATTGCTATTTTTTGTTTTTTTTGAATGAATGAGCAAATGCCCCCTCAACTCTTTCAACCATATCATTGCAATATAAAAATGGCCAGGAGCTAAAAGAGAGTCCTGTGACATTGCATTCAATTGTTCCTTCCAAACTCAGAGCCATTAACAGAAACTCTTTAAATATAGCCATTCAGCCAATTAAATTATTAGGTACAAAACCATTTAGACTTCAAAAGTATCACTAAAATCTTGAATTCAAACCAGAAGTCTATGAACAGCTGTTGTTCTTTCAAGCATTTTGAACAGGATCATAAATATACTTTACAAGAATTAACTTTTTTTTTCTTAGTTTACTCATCAGTTTCATCATCCATTATTCGTCTTTAGCTATTTTATGTGACATTATTATATTGTTGTGCATTATTTTTATGTGATTCCAGGAAATGGGTGGAAATTCCTGGTATTACATAAAAACAATGAAGCTTGTAACAGATACATTAAATATGATCATCTGTACTGTGTGCATATATTGGTGTGTGTGCTTATGTGAACTAATAACTCTGAACAAATCAAAACAGTATAATGGGATAGTGCTAGATGTGCTATACCAAGCCTTGAAATATATACTATAATATGAAGAGTGCATTATCCTCATGCCATGCTCCCTATATGGATCTGGCTAACCACTGAGAACAGAATATTCCACTACAGTCTCTGGACATTTGATCTGTTCCAACAAATTGCTCTTTTTAACAAAGGTAGATATACCAAGAAAACCAGCGATTGATTGCTGGGGGTTCACAGGAGTTCAGGTTCTGCACAGTTCAAAGAACCCACAAATCCTACTCCTGGTTGGTCCCACCCACCCCTCCCCTTCCACAAGGCCCGTTTTGGATGCAGGTAAGTGCAGGGTACGCAAGGAGGCTCAGGGAGGGCGAAAAACAGGCCTCCCAGAAGTTCAGGAAGTCCAGAAATGGGCAGAAACTCAAGCAGCAAAAACACCCCACCCGCACTGCTGTGGTGCAGAAGGCAAACTAGGCCATGCCCACCATAGCCATGCCCACCCAGCAACCTGGCAGAGAACCTGTTGCTAAAATTTTTGAAGCCCACTCCTGAGGAAAGTATAGGATTATGTGGAGGAAGGATTTTCTAGGGTGTCACTGTCACATTTATTTGCTAAGTCTGGGCGTTTTTTCTGTTTCTCAGTTGATTTGGCAAAGAACAACAATTTGAGTTCTTCTGTGTTAGAAACACTGGCAGAGCTCAAAAGAGAAAATGCTAGAATTGCCGAAGATGTGATGCAGATCCTGGATTCAGTACGTAACTTCACGGGTGAGTGGTTCCTAGCCACAGAATGGTTTTGTGGGCTTCTGTCAGCCCTTTAAGGAAGACCAAGACAGGAAACAGGTTCTACAAGAATAACTAGAACTCTGCTTTATTGATACAGACTACAGCAAGAAAATATTTGAAATGCAAGCTGCCCAAAGTCATTGACTGAGTAGGGCAGCTATAGAAATTTGAATGAATGAATATCTTGAAAGCTTGACTGGATTTTATTTTCCCTACCTCTCAAACACTGCGAGTTAAGTTTGAGATATTTTTAATGTTTTCTTCATTTCCTGGGCTTAAAAATGTTTTTGTTAATGTTACAGCAGTTCCTGCAAGCTAATCTCTGTGTCTCTCTGCAACTACAACTGTGATTGTATTGCATTTCTATCTCACTCTTCTTTTCTCCTAGTTTGAAAAAAAAAGAAATATATGTTCTAGTACTAGTGTTGCTCCTTATCAGTCCTGTGTGTGTGTGCATATACACATACATATACACACACACCCAAACAAACATATATTCTTTTATGTGTTATTAAGGATGTTCTACTTCCTCTGGCCACAGCTACTTTCTGCCCAGATTTTTTATTAATATTTTAGCCCAAGTATCAGGACTTCACCCTTTTTCATTGTGCTACAATGTAATATACAATTTCCCAATCTTAGAATAGTCTAATATTTTCTCATGCTGTTTCTTAATATGTACTTCTTGTAGGCAAATTATATCCATTTTTAATTTCTCTAATTTATTAAATATTCTTTTCCTTTTAATTGCCGAATTTAGTCCATTTATGTTAAGTGTCATTAATTTAACTTCTTCCATGGTTTTATTTGTTATATGGTCTAGTTGATGTTATTGCTCTCAATTCTCTTTGCTCCTAAGGCTTTTTCCTCGTCTTTGATGGCTCTTACCTCCTCGTCTCTTTCTTCCTCGCTTTGTTGTTTCTCTTCTCTCTCTACTACTTCTTCCTGTTGTTTTATTGCTTCCATCTCTCCTCTCTTTTCTCTTTCATATGCTCTGAAATGATCATAAAATAATTCTGCTTTTTCAATTGTATCTATTCTATGCCTTTGTTCTCACCAAGTCATTATTATTCCTTCTGGTATCAGCCGCCTGAAGTTAATTTCTCTTTTAATCAAACATTTAGTCAGGAACTGATATTCTCTTTTCAGGTCTCATACGGTTCTTGGTATCTGCTTCAACACTATTATTTCCTTTCCTTTATATTTCAGTGGTTCATCGCTCACTGCCTTCAGTATTTCTGTTCTTATAGCCTTCTTTGTAAATCCCCCCCTTTCATTCTAGCACTTGAGGGTCTTCCTTGAGTTTGAGGCAATCCCATTGATGCTGACAACTGTCATGGATTCTTTCAAACCACAACTAATCAGATAGACCCCAGACTCAGTAAAGATACAAAAGCACTTCAAAGGTGGAAAGTTTGTTTGTTTGTTTTAATCTATATTTAGTAGCTGGAGGGGACTTTTTATATATAAAACAAGAATAATTTACAAAAGGAGCTTACAAATTGTGAATGTCTTCAACTATTTTATAAACGGGCAATGTACTCCTGGTGTTCTGGCTACATCTATGCCTTATAGTATTTCTACTGCTCTTATCTAAATGTAAGAATGTATATCTTATGCTATATTATACCTAGCTGTCTTAATCTCCTAGTCCTAAATCAATATTATTAATACTAAAGCTTTATTCTGTAGCCCTGTATTATTTACTTTTAGTGTCCTACTTCACTACAGGTAGTCCTCAGCTTACAACAGTGACCATTTGAAGTTACAAGGGCACTGAAAAAAGTGACATGACCGTTTTGCACACTTATGATTGTTGCAGCACTCCCATGGTCACAAGATCAAAATTCAAATGCTTGGCAATTGACTCATATTTATGACGGTTGCAGTGTCCTGGGGTCATGTGATCACATTTTATTACCTTCTGACAAGCAAAGTCAATGGGGAAGCCAGATTCACTTAACAACCATGTTACTAATTGTTGTTAAATGAATCGCTAACTACAGGAATTCACATAACAACTGTGGCAAGAAAAGTCTTAAAATGAGACATAACACTTATCAAATGTCTGTCTCACTTAGCAACAGAAATGTTGTGCTCAATTGTGGTCGTAAGTCGAGGACTTCCTATATGCCTTCATATTTTTCTACATATTCCATATGTACAATATATTTCTTTATTGTTCACATCTTTACTTCTTTGCTACTAATTTTGATAAGTCACTATTGTTATTCTCTATAGATCCAGACTCCTTCTAGATCTATAGAGTTCAGTCAGTCTTAGGTTTCTTTTTTACTCAGGTTCCATCATAACCTTTACTTTTCCTTCAACAGCCAGTAGGTGCGGCTTTTGCCCATGTTTACATATTTGTAAGGCTGTGCCTTACTTTTTTTTTTTTCCTCTTATGGGGTGTGTGTATGCTCCAGTTAAGAAAAAACACTTCTTTCTTCCAGGCTAGAAGATCACACCAACTCTTACCTCATTTCTCCAGCTGCCATCTCTTTTTCCATGGCCTCTTCTTCAACAGGATTTTGGCTTTTCCCACTGGGTGTTTGTCTTCTATTTGTTCCTTGTGACACTTATGGCCACAGAGCTCCAAGGCACAAATCCTCCTCTCTCTCTCTCCTCCACACCACAGACTGTTTTCCAGTCTAAACATTTGACTCACTGTGTGACAAAGCAGGATAATAATAATAATCTGATTGGACTTGTCTACGAAAAACCAAAGGGTTGTCAAAACTCATATCTGTTTTGCTTGGGCAAGCCCACAATAGCTTTGACCAGGCTAAGCAGGGGCAAAATCTAGAGTAACTTGTGAATGGTGGCTAAAGTCGTGGATCTAGTATGTATCAAAACCATCCCAATTACAGTAGCAGATGCTTTCTGCTAGCTGATGACTTCAACATTCTATGTAGTAATACAACCTCCACATTCTTTCAGTCATCTGCAGATACAATAGTTAAATTCAGTATCCATTATGTTACATTTCTACACTTTCAAAATTGAGAAGTTTTTGATGGAGAAAAGAGAAAAGCCTATCTCCTAATAGTACTGAGGAAAGTAAAGGCGAGGCAAGAAGGAATGGCATATCTTTTATTAAATGGAATTTTTATTTCTTGATCAATCCTAACTCCAGTGAATTCTCATGAGTTCTTTTATGAATTCATTCATTACGTTCTTCTTCCATTTTAGGTAATAAAGATCATATGCCATTGCCTTATTGCAAATCTATAGAAAACTGCAGAAGTTGCTATGTATGCATTACAAGTAGTCCTCAATTTACCACAATTCATTTAGTGACCACTCGAAATGACAATGGTATTGAAAAAAGTGACTTATGACCATTGTTCACATGTATGACTGCTTCAGCATTCCCACGGTCATTGATCAAAATTCAGATGACAACTGACTCATATTTATGACGGTTGCAGTATCCTGGGGTCAAGTGATCATTTTTGCACCCTTCTGACAAGCAAAGTCAATGGGAAAACCAGATTCACTTAACCACCAAATTGCTAATTTAGCAACTGCAGTGATTCATTTAACAACCGTGGCAAGAAAGGTCGTAAAATGGGACAAAATTCACTTAACAACTGCCTTGCTTGGCCTCAATTGTGGTCGTAAATCAAGGACTACCTGTATAGACACATCAGAGGTGGTATTCAGCAGGTTCTGACCAGTTCTGGAGAACCGGTAGTGGAAATTTTGAGTAGTTCAGAGAACCGGAAAATCCCACCTCTGACTGGAGATTTTACAGTCTCCTTCCCTTGCCATACCCACCAAGCCACGCCCACAGAACCGGTAGTAAAAAAAATTGAATCCCACCACTGAGACATATATAGTAACACACATTATAGCCATGAAATAATAAGTCAGCATCTTCTATAAGTTTTATACTTGTCATTTCAACTGGGTACAGATGAAATTAATTAAATACTCAAGCAGCGTAAGGAAACTTTCAAAGTAGTCCTAGTGAAGCCCCATATAAAAACTATTTCACATGTTCCAGTTTTCCAGTTTGATGTTTGTCTTCATAATAACAAAATGTTAAGATATGGATGAACCCAAAGTCACAGTGAATAAAATTCTACCAAAGAAACTTTTAACACAGTGCCTGTGTTATCTGGCAAGATAAAAACTATTCTTCTCCTCATCCTCTAGTTCAGGGTTTGCTCTGCTGGCTGAGGAACTCTGGGACTTGAAGTCCACAAGTCTTAAAGTTGCCAAGGTTGGAGACCCCTGCTCTAGTTCCAGGGTTGGCCAGGATCAATTGGAGCTATAATCTAACCCAGGGCTGTCAAACTCCTGGCCTGTGGGCTGGATATGTCACACGCTGGCCATTGCCCACACCCAGTTTAGCGAAGGGGGAAAAAGTTGTGATATGTCACACAATGCTGCCATGACAACAAGATTTTGACACCCCTGAACATATTGAGAGGGCTATGAAGTCCTACAAAACACTCCAGTTTTCTCTAATTCTGCTCTCCACTCCCCACCCCACAATTTTTGGACTATTTCAGGGATATTCTGTACAACCTGTCCAGCTCATTGGATGAACTTTCAAAACAGCTGCTACTTCTTTTCTTTCAAAAGCAAACCCTGGAAGATAGCTCAGCAGTTTTGTGAAGATGAAGGTGCTAACCTGGTTATTGTGAACAGTGGGATAGAACAGGTACAGATTGATTCTGCTTTTATCAAGACCAGGGGAGATATGGAGGGATGTTTCTGAGTTCCCAAAGGTGATATTTGAGAAATATAATTTCATATGTACAGAACTCTAGCTGTAAACCTAATCAGAGATGCCCTGTTCTTATTTAAATACTGAAAGTAGCTTTCATTTCAAATTCAATTCAGCTTATATAATACAGTATTTTCATGATTGCTTTATTAAACCTTATTAATGTAGCTTTTCAGTTTTCATAAGCAACACTGTAAAAGTGAGATTTTTTTATTTTTTGCCTGGGGAAATTCATGGTGATTTTTCTACCAAGCCTGAGGACCACAAGGGCTATGATTAATTATGTTATCACCAGAGTGGGTAGAGCTGAAATTCTTGGCTTTTTTGTATGTGCTTTGGGGAACGGTAAAATTGGTGCTTTAAATCTTGCAGACCTTAAACCACACTTTTTCTATCTTAATTTTCCCTCCTTCCCCAAAACACAAAAATAGCCTGGTGAAGCTCTAGCAGGGTGCTGAGGTATTGGGGGGGGTGGGGGCATAAGTGGTATGCTGGGAGAATCCTGTGGCCTACAGTCAGACTACATTTCAGACTTGAAATTCTAGACCTAGAAAACCTAGAACTATGCTGCCTTCAGTCCGATCTAAGTATAGTATATAAAATTATACATTGCAATGTCCTACCTGTCAATGAATACTTCAGCTTAAACCATAACAACACAAGAGCACACAATAGATACAAACTCAAGGTTAACCGCACCAAACTTGATTGCAGGAAATGCGACTTCAGCAACAGTGGTCAATGTCTAGAATACTCTACCTGACTCTGTGGTTTCTTCCCCAAACCCCAAAAACTTTAACCTTAGACTTTCTACTATTGTCCTCACCCCTTTCCTAAGAGGTCTGTAGGAGGCGTGCATAAGCGCACCAACGTGCCTACCATCCCTGTCCTATTGTTTCTGTTATTTTTCTTATATGTATCCATGTATTCATAACTAAGTTTTTACTTATATCTATTATCTTGTAAGCATTGACAAAAATAAATAAAATAAATAAAAATAAAAATAAATAAATAATTTCCTTGTCCTGGATCTCAAAGAGCAAAACCAAGTAAAATCTATAAAGTAGCAAAATCTATAAAATCTTAAGATCAGAAGAGCTGTGTTAAAACCTTGAATTACATATTTAAAAACATGTGAAATAGACATGTTTTTATTGCCTATCTAAATGGTCTCACTGGTAGACCAAAGCAATGGAATTCCTAACTATGTGCTCCTACAGGTGTTACAAATTTTACAGGTGCTAAATGTAATGACTTGTTGCTCATGTTTATTCTCTATATGCCCTGATTATGTGTATCCTATCATAAATCAAAACTTCTAATACATGATGAACATATTCCTACTTTTTATGAACAAAGCCATAACCTTTTTCTCTTTCCTTTCTGGTAGAACTTTTTGGTAAAACATATGGGCAATGACCAGGTGTTTTGGATAGGCCTGACTGATACTGACAAGGAAAACCATTGGATCTGGGTGGATAATACAACTTTATCTGTGTCGTAAGTAAATTTAATTCTAATCCACTTGGTGGTAAAGTCAATTAAGGGTTTGCATAGATAAATGGAAACTGAGATTTGTAGCTTCCAGAATAGAAGTCTCTCTCTAATATGTAGCAAGCCATAAAAGATCATGAAAAAATAGTGCAACTCTCCATTGGTGCATTCTGCAGCAACAAATGAGACGGTTCCTTATACCTTAAACTATTAAGAGTATCTGGACAGAAAGACCAGAATCAAATGAATGAGAACAGGCATTTACCCATTAGCCATACATGATCACTGTAACGTCAGAACCATAAAAATAGTTTCTTCATGCTTCAGTTGATACTAAAAATATAGAGCATTTCTGTACTAACAATTTATAGCATCAGCCAGTCATCACTGTGACTAGACAAAGCCAGTTTTCATTAGTGATATACTGCCAGGTGGTGACCGGATGATGCATGAATAAGCATTGTGGAAGTGTTCATATTTCATGACAATGACTTTGAACAGGAGAGTGTGATTTTGAAATAAAAAATTAGAATGTCTTTTTCTTCCAGAAAGTCTTTACAAAATGGAAATTAATATCCCCTTTAAATGATCACATATGTTGTAAATTCATAATATTTCCTTGAAAATTTCATCCTATTTTGAAGGTTTGTTTGAATACATTATATTTGTTTTGTCTTCCTATTGTGTTTCCAGCAGTTGTGTAACTTAGTGATTAAACTCACTGGACTAGAAACTGGGAGACTGTGAATTCTAGTCCTGCTTTAGACATTCAACCAAGTGTATTTACTTTGTGAATGAAGGCAAATATACATGTCCCAGGATAATGTTGCAGGATCCAATATGAGTCTGTCCCTGCGAGCAGAGATTTACTCTTCCAAGCTTTCAGATTCGTGCGGGAACCCGTCCTCAAAGAACTTCTCTCTCTATGTGTGCACTGGGATGTTCTGTTCATAGTATTTATGTGGTTCCTGGTTGTGTGTGGCTTTTAGTTGTTAATTGGAGTGTTGATGGTTGATCTTTGATTGTTGCTTCCTTCTGCTGCTGTGCCTTCGGCTCTTAAGTACCTTGTATGCTGGTGGTAAATCAACACTCCTGTTGATTGACAAGGGGCCTGTTTCCCGGGCTTCAAACATTTCCCTGGCTATTTTTGTCCCTGCTTGGCCAACAATCTTAGCAGCTGCAAAATCCTTCCCGTCTGTCCTACATAGTCACAGGGGCAATCCATGTAGGAAATCTGGTAAATTACATTACAAGTTTTTCCTGTCTCCAAGCTATCTTTGTAATGCATGGTTTGTCCTTGTAAGTAGTTTCTGGGTGGTGGGAGATGCCGACTTGCAGTTCTCGAAAGCTGTGTTCTGCTGCTTCCAAAACGTTTTTGATGTACGGCAAGGTATAGGTGGTCTTGCACCTCCTTTTTTTCTTTATCTCCCCTGCATATTGTGCAGGCATCTTATGATGAATGCTTGTGGGTCTGCCTGAATTGTTCACATAGGTACTTGCTCTCCAGCTGTTTTGCTTGCTGGGTACTACAGTGGGTTCTCACCTGCTATATAGAATTACTTTGAGCCAGTGGCTCACTCTCTCAGCTCCAGGAAGAAGGCAAACTACAGTACTTCTGAGAATCTTGCCAAGAAAGGGACATGGATTTGTCCAGGCAATCAACATAAGTCAAAATGGACTTGAAGGCACCCCCTCCCCAAAAAACCTCTCTCCTGTCCCACCATGCTTTCATAAACATTTTAGGGTATAGTAGGTCTTTTCTGAGCCTTCTAAACCCTCTGAAGGCCAAATGGGAGGGAAAAATTCAAAAGGGGTTTCCCTGCATATTTAGACCAATACAAATATTGTTTTTTGAGCTATTCTGTTAGGTATATCCTGTTTAAAAATAGATTTTTTTTATTCAAGATTTAAGGACTAATGTTTATAAAAAGGGGAAGAGATTAAGTATTACCCAAAGGCTTGACATGAAACTCATTTGTAAGCATATTTTTCACTTTATGGAGAAAAACGTATTCAACAATGATAAACTCTTGAGAGAAAAATTGTCCTGATGTCAGCATGGTTTTTTTCAGATGCTGATGTCAATAGTTTTTTTTTATTATTTTTGCAGAAGGAAGCATGTTTTGCTTTTTATCTTATTTTCTTATTTTGATTTCCTCCTCAAAGTTATGGGAGCCTAAGTTAGATATATTGTGCAAATTAATAAATGTGTGTGCCTAGAAATACGAGCAGTTCCTTTTTGTTAACTTCCCTCTTTGCCTTTTTGAGAACTTTCTTTAAGTTTGGAGTTTAACCTCTCGTCATGTGGATTTACAAAAATAGGAAGTGTTTTCAGGCAAAGGAATATATTTCTCCATCATTGGTATTGTTAGGAACAGAAGATTTCTAATGAAATTGGTGGACAGGAAATTCATGACAAAATAGAGTCCTGTTTGCATTCAAATGGATGGATGAAGAAGTATCTTCCATTTTTCAACCTGGATAAAATTGAGGTTCTAAGCGGGAATGAAGAGCTGGGAATTCTGTATATTGTAGCTGCAGCCCATCTGGAGACTCTTGGGTTGACTGCCCTACATATTGTGGTTAATATGGAGCAATCAGGACTCTGCACACTATTCCAACTGTAGTTTACACAATGACACATGATACTTGCTGATTGGTTTCTGACCAATAACCTTTTTGTTCCCACCATTAGCTTTTGGGGGAAAGATGAACCCAACAATGCTGGATCGGGTGAGGACTGTGCTACCCTTCGCTTCTCTGGGAAATGGAATGACGTCCCCTGCTCTAGAAATGAACTCTCGATCTGTGAAAAGAAGTGCTAGCCATGCTCCTGTCCACGGCAGCCCATTGCACCACTGCTATTATATTAGTCTGGAGGTCTCCAGAATCATCTTCATATGACCCTTTTAAAGACCTTCATCCTCCTCGTCTTCCCCCTCCCCCCCAGCTTTTATGTACTCTCATCTTGAATATTGACTACATCTTTTGCATTTCTCTTGGGGTTCACAAACACAGAGTCATAGAGAAACAGTTGCATGCAAATAGGTCTTCCTTCCTTCAACGCAAGGGAACAACTGTTGCTTGCTTAAACTTTATTTAAACTGCATCTGTGATCAGCTTCCTATTGTGTCCCAAGGGAATTGAATGCACTGCTTGTATGTGTATGCTCTGAGGATATTTGCTACTTAACATAAAAAGTTGAAATATGTTTTTATATTATGCTATTATGATTTTGTGTATCTGGGGGCAGGGCGCTAAGACTTCCTTCTTCCACATATATGTAAGCAGTGTTGCTTCCATCCTGATGGAGTAACAGGTGGAGAAAAATATGCTGTTGGAGGTAAAACCACAGAAAACTCTTGCTCCTAAAGATTTCATGTCTCTTCTCTCTGCTTTCCACCTCAGCCTCTGCTGCAGTTAAGTGGCACCTTCATTCAAGGAAAACTATTTTTAATCAGCATTTATCCACAATATTTGCAAATCAAATATCTTGGCATTAGCTGCCGAAACTGTGCTTGTTCTCAATTATGCTCAAACAAGTTTCACATACAATTCTCTCCTCTGAACTATTTTTTTGTTTTACTCAGAAAATATGTACAAGGGTATAAACCAATAAATCAATTAAAACAGAGAATGCATGTTGGTGAAAAATCATTACATTTCAAGACGGAACCATTAAACATTTGACCAAATACATTGTTTGGAAATCATATTTAATTTTTATTAAAATATAAATGTTATGTTAACCATGTTAGCCAATGTAAATCCAGTCTGTGATAGATGAAACTTGTGGCTTAAGAGTAGTTCAACCAGACAGCTCTTTTTATTTATTTATTCAATTTCTATAGCCACCCATCTCAGTCAAGTGACTCAGGGAATCCTATAATTCTAAATTATAAAACAATTAAAAAAACCTTAAAACAATAAAAACACCCACAAAATAAATAAGTACAAACCACAGTTGAGATTATTAACCCTCTAATAGTAAAGCCAAGTAACCCTTAATGCATTCTGAGTCCCAGACCCTGATACATAGTCAAATTTTTCTAACCTTTTGAAAGTCCAGCAGGGCTGGGGCCAGTGATGGGATTCAATTTTTTTTTACTACCGGTTCTGTGGGCGTGGCAGGGGAAGGATACTGTAAAATCTCCAGTCAGAGGTGGTATTTGCCGTTTCTCCAAACTACTCAAATTTCCACTACTGGTTCTCCAGAACTGGTCAGAACCTGCTGGATACCACCTCTGGTTGGGGCCATTCTAATCTCTGAGGAGAGATTATTCCATAAAGCAGGGGTTACAGCAGAGAAAGTCCATCTTTTATATCCCACCAGTTGACACTCTTTGAGTGATCTGCAGCATGCCCAATCTGTTGGAATGAGTCGAATTGGTAGAAACTCTTAGGGGAAAAAAGCTTCCTCAGGCAACCTGGTCCCAAGCCATGTAAGTCTTTAAAGGTGATAATCAGCACCTTGAGTTGCATCTGGAAACACAATGGCAGCCAGTGTTGCTCACAGAGTAGTGGTGTTACATGCGCCATGTAGCCGTCACAAATTTTTTTAGTACCCATGCAGCAGCACTCTGTACCAGTTGACAGCACCATGTAGAGCATTTGAGTAATCCAAGTGAGAGATTAGAAGGGCATGAGTGATGATGAGCAAGGCTTCCCAATCCAGGAATGGGTGCAACTGGCGCATTACTGGAAGGTGCTCAAAGGCTCTCCTAGCCACAATACAGTGCCACCTGGAGCTGGCCTATGCCCCTGAGAGTCAAGAAAAACCAATATCTTCATTCTGCTCTCACCAGACATCATCCATAGTGTGATCAATGTTGTTTTAGTCCCAGACCCTGGCCTGAACCCCAACTGAAAGGGGTCTAGATAATCAACTTCAACCAGGATTCTTTGCAGCTGCCAGCTGCCACACTTTCTTGGCAAGCTTCCCTAAGAAGGGAAGACTGGAAACTGGGCAAAAACTGTCCAGCTTGGTTGGGTTGAGCAATTGTTCTTTGAGGAAGGGGTGCACCACTACCTCTTTAAGAGCTGGTGGGGCCACACTATCGTTCAAGAGGGAATTAATTACCATCAAAATCCAATCCTGTGTCCCTTCCCACACAACTTTAATAAGCCAGTCAGGGCATGGATTTAAAGCACAAATGGCTGAACTAGTAGCTGAGAAGGCCTTGTATTCCATGGCTCAAACTCTTCTCAAGTTACCTTGTATAACATAACCCCCACCACCTCCACAGATTCTGCTTTAAAACTGGAGTCCAATGTAGAGCAAATGTGGATCACTTTGTCTGCCAGGTGTGCAGCATATTCCTCGCAGCAACCGTTTAGATGAACTTCAAGGAGGGACCAAGTTACCTGAAACAAGGCACTGGGTGACTATCAGCAGATGGAACAAGGGCAAAGAAATTGTGATGACTCGGGGCATGGCACAAAGGCAACACAGTCAAATAAGCAATAAGAGTCCCTTTATTATCTCCAACTTTGCCCCCAATGTCCAGGTTACCTTCGGCTGGAGAAAAACTCTCTCAGGAACAGCCTTCAACTGTAGAAAATTCAGTCCAAAACAAGGTACATACAAACTGTAACTAAAAATCCAAAGAAACCAAGATGAAGTAATAACTTGACAGGGGAGGAGAAGGAATTTCAGACTTGAAAGCACGGCAAAACTCACAGTTGGAAAAATGCCAGAAACACAGATAAGCCACGATGATACAAGATAAATTCACGTTTGCTCCCAACAACTTGCTGTGCACAGCTTCCTCTTTTATACACTATGTTCCCAGCTGCAGCTAATGAAGGGAATCAGGGTCCTTTCCTCCCCCGTAAGCCATGCAACTCACATTGCTCCCTTCTCCGTTCCTCCCTGTGTGCCCTAGGATGAAGAGGGGGTGAGCCTGGGTCTACCTCTGAATTCCCTCTCCCTTGCACTACCTCTACCCTGCTCTGGCCAGCCGGACTTTGCCCTTCTCCAATTTCTTCCACAGCCAACAGAGCCACACTCCCACTCCCTGTCAGCTATTCGGCTTCCTCCTCCAAGTCAGATTCTGACAGGTACAACAGAAATAGAGATACTTGTTACAATATTCTATTTCCCACTCTTGTTGAACAGTACGTAGGGAGAAGGACAAGAGAGGAACATTTTTGGGTTAGAACTTGGGTGGATTGGCTCCAATAGTTAGAGGTTGATGTATGTTTTCTGGCAAGAATATGAGAGCGGGAATTTATTTCTTAAAAGACACATATATTTATCACATTTATGTCCTATGTTTAAGAATTCAAACTTCCTGCCCAATTCCTATTTTATGCTCTAAAATGGGTTCAGCAATAAGATAGGAACTTGTTCTTGGCCTCCTCACAAATTTTATAGCCAAATAAGGGTTTGTATCTGGATGTGTCTCACCATTCTCCACACTAGTTCTGCAGTACATTTGATGCAAGCAGCCCTTGATCTTTTCTGTCAACTGATATGATTGTGTAAATGTGTGGCAGTCGATGTATGCAATTTAATAATCCAGTTTCACTCAAAAGCTACAATTGATCTGTCTAGATTCATGTCAAAATTATGGTTCATATATCATGCTAAACTACAATAACATTTGTTTGTCTTTGAATTAGCATGCTGCATAAACAAGCTACTGTGGTTTATAAACTCTGATTTACCATATTTCCATCTTTTTAGGTATTACTGCAGGTTAACATTTGTAGAAGAAATAGGAAAATTTCAAAGTTAATAAGAAGCATCTTGTTAATACTACCAAATATTCAAACATCTGACAGTATTTGCATAGTGGCACTCAAAATAGCTTTGCTGAAAGGAAATAACTGAAAGTAAGGCTTACCGAACCTTAGTGAAGTTGTAACACCTAGGATACAGTAGTAGAATACTTAATTCACCTAGAAGTCTTGGAAACAGTTTCTTGATTAACATTCACACAGCCAAGAGGAATGGATGCAAAGAATCAACGTGCAAAAAGGCCACCAGCTCAACTGCCAAAGATACCAACACAGCCAACAGGTAGGACCAGCCTGGACCTGATCGGACTGGAAGGGAAAGCTAGGGATAGTGTATTCCTACCACAAGTGGGATGCCAGATCAGCCTCCTCCAGATGCAGGGACCAACTCCTAGAACTCTCGTGACCATGCTGCTTGGGAGATCCAGAGAGTTAAATAGCTGCATTTTGTGTATGTAGTGAGACTGGTGAAATCTGATGAGGACTATTCTCACTAGAATGTATATCAAAATAAAAGGTCCTGCAGTGTGCCAGGAAACTGTGGCATTTGTGGCATTTCAAAAATGGAAATCTGTTCTAAATCGTGATGATCCCTTATCATGCTTTGACAGATAAATATCTCCTAGTCCCCCTTTTAAGAATGGGATAAACTTGACCCACATCAGGTTTGTAGCTTGGTAGTACAACTCCCAATTAGGCAAACCAAATCCTCCTCTAGTTCTAGCATCTTGCAAAAGCTTTAACTTTATTCTCGCTTTTTTACCTTGCCATATATATTTCAACACAATTTTATTTAAATCTTCAAAATAGTCTTTTCCAAGCCTAATTGGAATTGTTTGGAACAGATATAAGATTCTGCATAATATATTCATCTTGATTGTTGAAATTCTCCCTATTAGTGACAGTTTTAGATTTTCCCATTTCGCCAAGTCTAGCGCTATCTACTGTTTAAGTTTGATATAATTATTCTCTTTTAATGTACTACATCTTGCTGTCAAATATATCCCCAAATACTTGATCTTATTCGTGACTTGAATTTTCAATAGATCTGCCAATTCTTTCTTTTGTCTTGATAACATATTCTTTGTCAAAATCTTTGTCTTATCTTTGTTTATTTTCAAACCAGCCACCCTGCCATATGCCTCTATCTTTTCCAATAACTTTGGTACTGTTTCTAAAGGGTCTTCTAAGATAAAAACCAAATCATCCGCAAAGGCTTGCAGCTTAAATTCTTCCTTTTTAATTTTCATTCCTTTTATACTCTTTTCATCTCTAATATTTCTGTTTAACACTTCCAAAGTTAACATGAATAGTAAAGGTGATAGTGGGCACCCTTGTCTTGTTCCTTTTCTATGTTAATAGAGTCTGTCAGTTCTCCCTCTATCATTACCTTTGCCGTTTGCTTGTAGTATATAGCTTCTATTGCTTGAATAAATTTTCTAGCAAAACCCATCTGTTCCAGCAGTAATAACATGAATCGCCAATTCACATTATCAAATGCCTTTTGTGCATCTAGAAATATCAAAGCCATTTGTTTTTCAGGATGTGCCTCATAGTATTCCAAGGTATCCAAAATTACTCTCATATTATCTTTAATTTGTCTCTTTGGCAGAAATCCATTTTTGTCAGAATGAATAAAATTAGTTAAATATTTTTTAAGTCTTTCTGCCAATATTGAAGCAAAAATTTTATAATCTGCATTTAGTAGAGAAATAGGTCTATAGTTCTTAATTTGCAATGGATCAGCCTCCTCTTTTGGAATGAGTGTGATATAGGCTTCTGACCATGATTTGGGTATCTTCTTTTTTTTTTGAAAATTTTATTGATTTTTAAAAACAAACATAAACAAAACAATACATAAAACATAAAAACATAAAACATTCCTTTTGAAAGCAGCCTGATCCTGGGTTACATCTCTTTGTGCAGA